AGTAGGAGCAGGGGGATTCGTCTATCATTTCATGATACATGTGTGGGTGGTAATGAGAACACAATGTGTTCATAGTCTATAATTCGTTTCTGAGGTTCATCTAAATATTTGGTGGACCATAAAAGAGTGCCTGGGGACTATGTGTGAGTTCCGGGAATAGTCGGTATATCTCTTTAGAGTCTAGCAACAGCATGACTAGTTTCTTGAACTTAGTGATTGTGTCACAAATACGGATAGTAATTGGTAACCTGTTCCACAGTAGACTGTATCGTATTACAAAGAAATTACAACGCAATAATTTCTTGTGTTTTGCCGTTAATAGTGTATATGCGTTGTTTCTAAGTCTGTAAGTAGTACCGTGGTTCATAATTGGACGGTATTTTACGAACGAAAGACCATTTATTAGTTTATAGAGGCAGGTGGTGATTGTGGTGGTGTTTTGTTCTCGACAAGCATTAGGTTGTTTTTGAGACGACGGCGCCATAGAGGTTCTAGGGAAAGATGCTTGCATCTTTCTGTGTAGTCGAGGTTATGGCTCAATCCGAGCAGTCGCCGGGTGAAGCTTCTTTGTACATTTTCTACTCGCATTTTGTCCATGATATTCATGTTTGAAAATATGAGTGAACAATATTCAAGTGTGGGCCTTATACAGATTTTGAAGAGAGTAAGCTTAGCCTCACTTGTGAAGAAGTTCTTGTTTATAAACCCAATTAGTCGTCTAGATTTAGAGATAATATTTGAGGCATGTTCTTCGAATTTTAGGCTTTTAGAGTAACTAATACCAAGGTCACGCGCTGATATGAGTGTCTGAACTCTACATTTTTGTAAGTAGAGTGGTGTATCAAGGTGACGCTCGCTAAAATGCATTATTCCACATTTGTTGTGGTTAAACGGCAGTTGCCATGTCTCGCTCCAGGTACTTAAGTTATCAAGATCACTCTGAATCTTAGCTATATTTTCGTCCAGATTTTCAGGCTTATAGCTGTATACTATTTTCAGATCATCAGCATATAAGTATGCTCTTCCAAATTTAATAGTATTACATATGTCATTTATGTACATTAGAAACAAGAGTGGACCTAAGACACTTCCCTGGATAACCCCACTGGTTATTGGTCTTGGTGATGAAAGACATTCGTTGTAGTTAACCATTTGTTGTCGCCCATTTAGGAATGAAGCTAACCATGAGTGCAGTGGGTTGATGATTCCGAATGACTTCAGTTTAAGTAGAAGCCTTTTGTGTGGGACTTTATCAAAAGCCTTTTTAAAATCGAAGAAAAGGACTGATACCAGAAGCCCTTTGTCTTGTTCATTCGTGATATCGTTGAAATAATCTAAAAGACATGTATCACACGACCTGGACCTCAAGAACCCATGCTGTGAGGTCGATATCAGATTGTTACTAAGTAGATGTTGTGGTAACTCTGCCTTAACTATTTTCTCCATGACCCGAGATACTACCGAAGTTATGTTTATAGGTCGGTAATTTTCAACGTTCGCTGTAGGCCCAGATTTTATTGTGGGGATGATATGTGTAGTCTTCCAGTTATTAGGGTAACACTCTGTGGAGAGAGATATAGTAAATAGTTTGAGAAGAATAGCACTCAGATCATTGCTACCATTTTTTAGCATGCTGGCAGGGATGCCATCTGGTCCTTCAATGTAAGAGTGCTTCAGTGTAGTAATCGCCCTAGAAATGTTCTGTACACTAAATTCAACACTGGCGATTTAACAGGAAGGAGTTTGGGTCAGGTGTGACTCATTTATTGAGTTTTCGTTTGTTATTGTGGCACAGAAATGTTCGCTAAACAACTCTGCGATACTTTTAGGGTCGTCATACACTTGATTGTCCTCAATAAATATGCTCCCTCCTTTCACTTTGGAGCATTTGAGTTTATTCCGAAGGAGTTTTATGAGTTCAGAGGATTGATTGTTCAGCTGAACAGCACTCTTTTCCTGTGCGATTGCCTTTTTAGTTCGTGTTATTTCTGCCTCGACACATATTTCAGTCATCGTTACTAATGAGGAGAAGTCATTACAGTTATGAAATCTGGAAGCATGTTTTCGTATATGACCTGGCATAAATAAGTCCTTAGGAATTCTGGGTCTCCAGGATTCTAAAGGTGCAAATTTGTTGAATATGCTATTTGTGTTGTGATAAAATACATTTATTAGTTCATCAATATTGTTTGCAGTAAAGTAGTTTGTCCAGTCAATGCTTCTGAGGCAGTTACTGAAGTTTGACCAATCAATCCTACGAAAGTCGTCAGAATCGTCAAATAAATCCTCGAAACGTCGGCATCAGCATTTGTATGGTGGCCGATTTCTATGTGTTCTTAGTCTTCGTAATTAGCTCGTTCAGACAATCCTTACCAAATGGCGTCTGACGGTTATAAATCAGAAGGTAAACCCGTAGTGTTGAATACGTTTATTTTGGCGCACCATAAATAGGATAGAAGACCACAAGCAGACCGGGCAGGCACACTAGCGAGCGAATGTGCGAATGAACAGGTGAAGCACGTTGGAGAAGGCTAATAAGCCAACTCAAAGAAATGGAGCATGACTAAGAATATATAGTCAGATAAAATAAGGCAGACATGTGACAAGCGAAATAGGCATGCACACACATGAATAAAAGCGACGAATGATTGACAAGGTCAAATGACAAGTGGGACACGTCATGTGAGCTCATACAAACCAGACAATAATAAGGACGAATGGTACATATAAATTGTTGCAATACAAATGATATAGTTAAATAGATTAATCGAAAGGGCTTAACCAAATGAAATGTAAGCGAACTGGAGTATATGTGGAGGCACCACAAGCTGTCTTCCGTGCGCGACTTCTCATTTTGATCCTTCATAAGAATTCCGTATGATTTTGACCATCTTTTAGGTGCACCATAGTGTCGAAATACTTCCATCGAATCGTCCTGTGAACACTATCAAATGCTTCTGCGTAATTCATGAAGTTAGTAATAATATATTCGCAAAAGCAGCATGCTATAAGAAGCATGCCAGTTTACAAGCAACATCAAACTGTTGCAAACGCTACCAAATTCACTGTGACAGTTATCGAAATTAGATTAGAAGTAACAGTCTTTTCCTGATAACAGATTTACACCATGTCACTGATACAAACGGTTTGACACGGCCGCATTTTCGATAAGTGAGTACAAAAGGGGAAGGTACAGAGTAGAGTTCTTGGGCGGCTTGCTTGACCTTTGATGGTCAAGTAGACAACAAAGTTGTAAGCCAAGATAAAATTCATACTGACTGCTGAAATTTAAGTTAACTATAGTAATGAAGCCCACAAACAAAGGAGTACAGAATTGAAAAGTTTATGTAGAGTGGTGAATTCCATTGAATTGACTGTTTCCGATCATTCGTAATGTTGTAATTTAATCGGAACACCACCGATCCTTACGGAATTCAGCCTTCTGATCTCGAAGTTCATTTTCATCAAAAATACTCGGTTTATGAGTGATGCCTTTGTAGTTGTTTTAGCTTCATTTTGACCACCACAGAGTGATGATCTGAAGCTATATCGGCTCCTCTCTTTGTTCTTACGTCCTCCATGGTCCTTCTAATATTTTGCTGATGTAGATATGGTCAGTTTGGTTCTGTGTAGTGTGAGCTATTGAAATCTATGCAGCTTAGTGGGTGCGCTTGTGTGCGAATGTGATGTTGCCAATGACCAGTTTGTTGAAAGCTCATAGGTTTACAAAACTCTCACCTTAATTGCTCCGTTCTCCTAGTCCGTGTCGTCCCATGATGTCTTCATATCCAGTGTTGTCCATCCTAAACTTGACATTTAGGTCTCGCATCAGAATGTTGCTGTCCTTTGTTGATGAGTTTTTTCAACGATTAGCTGCAGCTTCTCTCAGAAGTGGTTTTTAACGTCTTCATTGTAGTCGTTGGTAGGTGAATAGCATTGGATGACGTTCTTTGTAATGTCCTCTTTCTTTGTTTCGTAGGATGCTTTGATGGTCCTGTTTTCATGCGGTTGCTTTCTTTTCTTGCTTGAACAGCATCAGTGGACCCTCTTGTGTGTGAGGCATTTTCTTCTTCATTGTTGGAGTATGACAGCAACTTTCATGGGCCGAATCTTTTTTGCCCAAACTGCTTCGGATGTGTTTCACTGATTCCATGCACTCTCAGCTTGCATCTTTTCATTTCTGCAGCAATTTGCATGACTCTCTAAATGCCTCCCAATGTGAAAACATTCCACGTACCTAAAAGAATGGTTGCTATGGTTGTGAGAAGGGGCATCGGTCTCATGACTTCCAAAACAAACTCGGCTTTCATTGTGAGTCTTCATAACTTTTCTAAATAAGGACCTTCGAACTCCCAGGGCAGAGTCTAGATGGTTCATGTTATTTTTTATGGTTACCGTTTCTTTAATGAGTTAGTTTTCTATGATGTGGGGCCGCTGACCCCATGCCCAACCTTTCTCCTTTATCCCAGATATAGGCCGGCTGTAGTCCCAAAGGGGTTCCAGGAGTAGTAGAAATTGTCAGATGGATGTATTTTTTTCAGACGTACATACACATAGAGCAGGAAAGGGTATTTTGCCGTCGCATACATCAACCACAATATCAGACACATCTTTTAATGGCGAGTGACTTCTGACGAGACTTCCATGTGCGCTTGCCAAATGTCCCGTGAGAGCGACACGTTTTAACCAGAAACCGTTATTGTCGAACTGTACACTAACGTATCTGCCGGTACATCTACTGATTCAAGCGGTCTCATCGTCGTATACAAAAAATAAAGTTGCTAAGGGATTCGGAAACCTTATCAAATACTTGGAACCTCACTCTACTATCTAGACTGAAGAAACAAATCATTGAGTTTATACTAGCAAAAATGTTACGTGTAAGTAAGTGAAAACTATATATTACAGCTGAAATACAGATGTCAGTTCGTTATTTATTTCCATCGTTTTGAGAACTTATAAATGTACATTTAATGAAGTTTCACCTTGATAGTTCCTACCTATTTGTTTCTCAAGGTAACATGCCAGGTTTACTCATTCATCGTTTATTATCTACACAGTAATGCCAAATCTATTACATAAATATATGTATTCATAATATTTAATGAGAACTCGAATGACTAAATCCTAAAAATCTAAAGATGATTGCTTAAGACTTTAATTTCCTATTTTGGGACACGAAACTAGGAGTGAAGTTATAATTATATGTTAAGAAGGTACTGTTAAATGATAAGTACTGTATGTGTCAAAGCCAATTTTCACCGTAGCGACTAGTAAACAGCTCATCTTTTATTCTGAAAATCTGTTAGATAACGTGGTTTCTGATCTGCTTATCATCGCAGATTTTTAAATTTTCCGGTTAAAAATCCATACATTCGTCAATATGTCTCGATTTATTGTGAAAAAATCATTTTCTAAATTCAGGAGATTTCCTGTATAAACTTTAAATCTGAGAAAGTTCAGAGAGTAAACCCGAAACATGTGGAACTTTTGGTACTGCATGATACTTATTCATAGCATTTTTCCAATTTAGATGAAAATTTTAGTGAAAATCACATCTTATGAAATTTCAAATAGTTTTGTTGCATTTTACTAAATTCACCCTAAATCAATCCATTTTTATCCCAGAGTTGGGAGCTTGTGTTGTTTTTTATTCATTTACGGGTATTTCGACGCATATAATTTATCTCTAACTTTTCGAGGTTTTTAAAGCAAAATCACTGTCCATACTCTAGATATATTGAGAAGTACATGATGATATTTCTCTTAATTAACTAATAGTTTCGGATGATGAGAAGTACATAAAGTCTCTCGCTTAAAAATTTTTATACGTCTACCGGCAGTGGACCACCAATGCCTTCAGATGAAAAGATACGTTTTCATCTTAAGTTAGATCATATGAAGCCACGAAAAATTGGATGAAAGGTTTAACGGAGTTAGCCAGAAGTGCACTTTAAAGTTACCAGTGAAAGGTTAGGTCGAAATTTGTTTTCATTACATGATTTGAGATCATAGATTAGTCTATCTCCCTTTTTCTACTTGTATTAGAGAATTACTTATAATCTCAGTGTATTTTGCATTGCACTACAAATTGATTGATATACATTTTGGAGGACTGAAAGTTGGTCCGTTTTCTTGCTGACTCAGAATGTGATAATCTGTCTGCCATCAAGATAAAGCCTGGAGCAGCCTTACATTAACCCGTTACCACGGCATACTAGCACGCTGAGATAAAACTAACAGGTTGTGTAGGAAAAGGAGTTGGAGTAATATGGTAATGATGAAAAAGAGAAGATAAAAATCATGAATTTGTTCCGCGATTCTAGACCAAGAGAAACGCAAAGAGCAATTGCATCGAGACCGTTGTGACTAGATCCTAGTCATATCATTCAACGTATCCAACCATTGTTCTCAGTTATCATACTGACCCGAACCAGATAGTCTGTATTTAACGACGTGACTCAGAACGACCAGTTCCTAGACTAATGCCACGTTTCGGTTTACTCATCCGTGGCTTCCAACCTAATCTTGCCCTATCAAGCGTTGCTCGTTTACTAGCTTAGGGTTAGGTTAACTCCTTAGTGGGGTCTTATTTCAAGAAGAAACCCTCTTCAACAACGTGGAAAACACGTTAGTTATAATCGCCTCCATACGTTTAACAGTATGTGACCACCATTTTCATAATTAAATCCCGCCTTTATTATGTACTACCAACATTAAAAACCTGAGTTCACAAAGTACTTACTTCAGGTTACCTGAAACTGCTCTTTAAACTACATGTTGGAACTTTTAATGTATGAAGTCTGAGTTCAAATCGGACGATAGGAGTAACTAGCTCAGACTCAAGGATCTCATGCTATCGATTTATGATATCTCTTCAGAATATATACCGGCTATAGGAAATCTGAAGCGCGGGAGAGCGGTTGGCCCTAATAGGTTTGCCCTTGAGATTTCCAAGGATGATGGTCCAGTTTTAGCAGTTAGGTTGACTGAGATCTTGGGTAGAATCTGGGAACTGGACGTAACCCCATCCAACTGGTTTCAATCCCTGATTGTTCCAGTTTACAAGAAGGGACAAAAGTCCTCTTGTGACAATCACAGAGGAATCAGTTTAACTAACAGTGTCTAAATTGTTAGCCCAGATAATATTAAGATGCCAAACTAGTGCTCGCGAAGAGCAGACTAGAGAAAACCAGGCTGGTTTCAGACCTAGAAATGGATGTATAGACCATATATTCACGATATAAGCGAACAATATTGTTTTCCATTGAACCGTCATCAGGCTTTACTCTAACATACATGAATATTTATATGAAAATACTAAACTAATCAAGGCAATTCGAGTCAGTAATCACGATGAAATGAAGTAGATTGTGCTACTACACATAATAGGCAAAAATAAAAGTTGGTAGTAGGACTATTGATAAAACCATTATCATATTTTATTTTTCTTACTACTATCAGTCCAGCTGTCTTCCTACTATCAACCTGTACTTTTGCCTATTATGTGTAGATCCTAGAACTCATACACACATTTTGGCGTCCGACAATCATATTTCTGAACATTAAGACGTCATTTGACTCTCGATTATGAGGTTTTATGGAAGTCTCTGTCACAGAGTGTTCACTGAACTGTACAGGCTCTCTGCTCGAACACTACTGCTCGAGTCAGAGCTTACGGCGAACTATCATCAAAACTGATTACTCCAAGCGGTTTTTGTCAGGGTTGTCCACCTTCTCCATTCTTATTCAACTTTCTCATAGACACGCTTTAAGAGATAATACTATCTTCGTCTGAATTTTCAAGAGTTAAACTTTTACCAGGTGATTCACTTGTCAACTTAGAATATAACGATGACTTAGTTCTATTTGGTGAAGACGCTGACAAAATCCAGTGTCTCCTGACTACCCTAAGCAACAATGCAAGCATATTCAGGATGCGATTCTCCCCCTCGAAATACAAAATGTTGCTTCAGGATTGACTTGTATCAGCACCTGAACTAGTGATAGGGAGTGAAGTAATTGAGCATGTTGACCGCTTCACTTATCTGTGGAGTCTCATCAGTTCTGATGACCTGGTGACTGACGAAATCTCAGCGTAGATACGGAAGGCTCGATTGACTTCTACCGCCATTCTTCAATTACAGAGTGGGCAAGATATCCGTTTGCTAACCAAAGGATGAGTGTACTGTGAAGCAGTTCGCTCTATCCTACTTTATAGCTGTTAAACATGGCCAGTAAGATTAGAGGATATTAGTAGGCTACTGGTTTTCAATCATAGGTGTCTCCGCAGCATTCTTCGTGTATCCTGGAACCATCAAGTAAGCAATGCCAGTGTTACGAAGAAGGTACTAGGTAAGGATGGCAGATCAATTGATGAATTAGTAAGTGTTCATCAGTTAATATTGTTGGGACATGTGTTACTGCCGACTGCCCTGACGCAGGTAGTGGCAACTTTCTAGCTAGGGTATTGGTTAAGTTGTTTACGAACGTTTGGCACTCATATCACTTGTAATTCATTTTTCTCCATACAAATTACAAGTTGACAAGGTCATCTACAACAGAAGCCAATTCGAACTGACCAATTTCTCAATAAACAATGACGAATAAATAATCATCGAAGAGACGTAAACCATTTAACCTCAAAACCGTAGGTAGATAAGCTTCTGGTTCGGTTGGTTGGTTGGTTCTTTCTTACCATTATTTCGCATTATTACTAATAACTAGTAGTACATTCATTTTGTTACTCGTCAGTCAGTCAGTCAGATGCAACGTAGAACTTTGTACGTAAGTACATCAGTCCATGTTGCCATACCACATCAGCACAGAGATATAATTGTCAATTCAAATCCAACAGTAGAAGAGGGAGTATAGGAATTAGAAGTAATCGGAGAGGTTACGGTTAGATGATATTATTCGAGTAGTATGATTCAGTGAGAAAAGTGTAGAAATTCAAAACTAGAGGTGTTGAATAATCCAGAAGATTAGGATTTGAGAGAACACAAAGAATAAATGCACCGGCGCCATTGCCAACGATTTTGGGCCACGTCATTAAGGGTATTTAACCATCAATTATTATGATCTCGCGGACCCCAACCAGGTAGTCGACAACTACCGACATGACTCAGTCCACTTGTCAGAGACTTCATGGATTTCTGCCATGTTTTGGTCTGGCCGCCCCTAACTTTCTTCCAACCTATTCCTACACCACAAAACATAGCTCGACGAGGCAGTCGGTGGTTGGGCATACGTAACACATGTCCCAACCACCTCAACTGATGAAGTATCACTACTGCGTCTATTGATCTGCCATTCTTACCTAGCACCCGATTCCTAATAACAGCGTTGCTCACTCGGTTGTCCCACGATATACGAGCAATGCTTCGAAGACACCTATGATCGAAAACCAGTAACCTACGAATATCTTCTACTCCTAGCGGCCATGTTTCACAGCCATAAAGTAAGACGGAGCGAACTGCTGCGCAGTACACTCGTCCTTTAGTCAGCAAATGGATATGTCGCCAACGCCATAAGTGACGCAGGATGGCAAAAGCCAATCGAGCAGAGATTTCGTCAGTCACCGGGCCATCAGCACTGATGAGACTCCCAAGATAAGTGAAGCGATCAACACGTTCGACTACTTCACTCCTTATCACTAGTTCAGGTGCCGATAATGCACCCCAATCTTGAAGCAACATTTTGCATTTGGAGGGGGAAATCCGCATCCTAAACATGCTTGCATTGTTACTTAGGATGGTCAGAATACTCTGCACTTTGTCAGCGTTATTTCTAGGAGCATATCTATGATAGAATTACTTGTAGTTATAAAAAAAATCTTTACAATTTAATTTTATTTTAGATAAATATTTCCAATTATTTAAATGACAACATCAAAATCCATTAGACAATTAAATTTATTCTTAGAATGGACTGGTCATGGTCTGCTATGGATAGGATTTGTTTCCGTTTTACTCATTGCATTATTATTCAGCAGTAATAATAATAATACATCCAGTATACAATCCTACATGTCTTTTCAACATGTATGGTGGAATTGGCGAAGTAATTCTCTCATTGATGAACAACAACAACACTACAATGATGAAATGAATAAAAATATTACAAAATTATTCTGTTTATTCATTGCCTTATTGTTTGATACAATTATGGTCGGTATTATAAAATTTTTATTTCAATGTGAAAGACCTAAAGAAAATAATCATAGTGATATGAGATTAACTGTTAGTATTGATGCATGGTCATTTCCATCAGGTAAGAGAGAGAGGTATGAATTTTTTTTTCTATCTTGTTTGTTTTGCAATCAGAATTTGAGTTTAAAAAAAACAACTTGACTCAACTCGACTCATGTTGGCTTTTTTTTAATTTTGAGCTTAATTTAGAGTTGATGGTTCAGCGTTTGTCATGTATATGACGTAGGTGAGATATTCGTTTACTACGCAACAATTCGCTCCGTCCTACTATATGGATGTGAAACATGGCTTGTAAGAGTAGAAGATATTCATAGGTTGCTGGTTTCCGATCATAGGTATCTCCGAAGCAATGCTCGTGTATCCTGAGACAATCGAGTAAGCAGTGCTGTTGTTAAGAAATAGGTCCTAGGTAAGGATGGCAGATCAATAGATGAAGTAGTAAAACTTCATCAGTTGAGGTGTATGAGGCATGTATTACGAATGCCTAACAACCGACTTCCTCGACGAGCGATGTTTTGTGGTGTAGGAGTAGGTTGGAAGAAAGCTATGGGCGGCCAGATCAAAACAGCACAAATCAGTGAAGTCACTGACAAGTGGACTGAGTCATGTTGGTAGATGTAGGCTACCTGGTTGGGGTCCGCGAGATGAAAGTCACCGATGGTTATGTTACGCCTGCACGTAAACACGTCAACTTGATATACTTGAACTATTACGAGTTTACCTAGTCGGAAAACGAGAGCGAAGATCGAGGATCCGGCGACACGACATGCTACTCAAATCCGATTATCCCAACCCCCATATTTAGTAAAAATAAGAAGACGTGATATGAAGTAGGACCTGTATTCTACAAGCATCCAGAAAGTACGAGGTCCGAGTCCAAAAGAGAATCAGGATCCCGGACTAGGGATCCGGAACCGGGTCCTGGTCCTGGTCGTGATCATAAAATATTACAGATAATGCGTATTAATACATTTTGGCCGAATAGGAAACAGCATCGAATTCTGTGACATTCACAGTTAAGACGACCAATAGGAAAGAACATTTGAAGTAACATTGATAGTCAGAACAACCAATAAGAAACAACATTGGAGTATATGACATTGATATCTAGGACGACCATAAAATTGACCAGTAGGAATTAACCAATTGGAATTGACCAATAATTCTCTTAGAATATTGGATGAATATCCTAACAGGTTAGAGACCTTAATTGACACGGGTCAAAATCATTTTGAGTGACGCAGATGCATCCATTCTTTGTGTTCTCTCAAATCCTGATCTTCTGATTTCCTCATCGCCTTTATCTTTTCCTTTTTAAGTTTATTTCACTAGATTCTACTTCTTGAATAATAATATCTTCGAATGTTAATCTCTCCTATCACTGTTAATACTTAACAATTCGATCTGTCTATGGTATGGCAACTTGAATCGATGTAGGTATGTACGTACGAAGTTCTACGTTGCAGCTGACTGACTGACTTATTTATTCTCATTTTTAAAATCTTACAATCGATCTTGGAATATCATTCGCTTCGTCTAGAATTTTCATATCATTATAAATAGTTCATATTGTTTAAATACCCTTGTTCTCATCGTTTCTCATATTGATTACTAGTGTTTATCAATGAAAACATTTCAGATAAATAAATTTCACGTACGTACATATATTATTCCATTTTGCTCCAGTGTTCCGATGTACGTACGTATGTATATATGTGTATATGAGTGTATTTGTCAGTTTGTCAGTCTGTGCAAATCAATCAATAAAAAGATGAAGTCAGTCTTTGAGAAAATAACATATTAATCAAAGCACTTTAATACAACAGTTTTTGGCTGATACAAATAATAATAATAATGATAATACAATTTTGTATTGAAATCGGTAGAGTACACATGTTCAATCTCATCATCATCATCATTAGGTATGTAAAAATCAATAGAGATACACAGTCTCATGGTAACCAATGAGTGACCAATTTCTAAGATCATTCGCCAATTATTCTTTCGAGGATCTCGGAGACCATGTACACGTCATTGGTTCATTAGAATCACGGTGGATTTTGCATACCCATCAATTTGATTTCTAAGCCTGATCGGAACATTCAATTTCCCTGTCAAATTTTATAAACAACACTCTTTGCCATGTGAAGCCAATCAATAATCATAAACAGCAACGTAGAACTTTGCACGTATGCACAGTAGTTCAATTTGCCATACCACATTAGCACAGATATGTAATTGTCAATTCAAATCCAATAGTAGAAGAGATAGTATAGGGTATTAGAAGTAATCGGAGAGGTTAGGATTAGAAGATATTATTCAAGAAGTATGATTCAATGAGAAACGTTTAGAAAGTCAAAACTAGAGGTGTTGAAGAATCCAGAAGATTAGGATTTGAGAGAACGCAGAATAAAGGCACTTGCGCCATTGCGAACGATTTTGAGCCATGTCATTCAAGGTCTCTAACCATCGATTATTATCATCTGGCGGACCACAACCAGGTAGCCCACATCTACCAACATGACTCAGTCCACTAGTCAGTCAGTGACTTCATGGATTTCTGCCCTATTTTGGTTTGGCCACCCCTAATTTTCTTCCAACCTACTCCTACACCACAAAACATAGCTCGACGAGGCAGTCAGTGGTTAGGCATACGTAACACATGTCCCAACCACCTCAACTGATGAAGTTTCAATACTTCATCTATTGATCTGCCATTCTTACCTAACACCCGATTCCTAACAACAGCATTGCTTACTCGGATGTCCCACGATACTCGAGCAATGCTTCGTAGGCACCTATGATCGAAAACCAGTAACCTACGAATATCTTCTACTCTCACTGGCCATGTTTCACAGCCATAAAGTAGAACTGAGTACACTACTGGGCATTACACTCGTCCTTTGGTCAGCGAACGGATATCTTGCCTTCTCTATAAGTGACGCAGGTTGGCAAAAGCTAATCGAGCTTTCTGGATCCGTGAAGGCAATGAGTATGGACTATGGCTGAACAAGAAAGCATTTGGGGAAGGAGGGTGCACTCTTTTTCTACTCTTGACCCCGTATCAGCAGGATATCTGGATCTTTTTCCTCAATTCTACTGCTACTTATTATTTGCGTCCCGTTTTGTGGTAATTCGTTTGCTTTTCAGTTTATTGTTTTTTCTTGAAATATATTTAGGATATTTCAGAAATAATGATTCAATCATTGTTAGACTACTGTTAGAAACCTAGAAACATTGAAAGACGGCCGTTTTTTCTGGATATGGGATTTCAGTAATAAATATCAATCTCCATAACTCTATAATGAAAAATTGTACAATGTGCTCACTAGTGACTAGCTTCGTAAGGAAGTTCTCGGAGTTCAGGTAAGAAGACGTGACCAGTGGAGTTCAACCCTGTCGGATGTCGGTAGTAACTACCTAAAAAAAATGGATGAGGTTGCGCAAAATTGAGTCAGTGGCAACGTAGAACTTCGTACGTATGTACATAAGTTCGGGTTGCTATACCACATCAGCACACAGACGCAAATGTTAAATCAAATTCCATAGTGATAGAGATAGTAGAGGTATTAATGGTAACGAAGAAGACTTGGGTTAATTCAGTGAGATAAAGTTAGAAAGACAAAGATAGAGGTACTGACGATTCCAGAAGATTAGGATTTGATAGAACACAATGAATGAATACACCTGCGCCATTACAAATGATTTTGAACCATATCGTTCAAGGTCTCTAAACATTGGTGACTTTCGTCTCGCGGACCCCAACCAGGTAGCCTACATCTACCAACATGATTCAGTCCACTTATCAGTTATTTCATGGATTTCTGGCCGCCCCTAACTTCCAACCTACTCCTACACCACAAAACATAGCTTGTCGAGGCAGTTGGTGGTCAGGCATTCGTAACACAAGTCGCAACCACCTCAACTGATGAAGTTTCACCACTTCATCTATTGATCTGCCATTCCTACCTAATACTCGTTTCCCTGGATTGATCAGAGTTAGACATTAAACAGCGTTAGATGCCGGCCAGTTCGGTGTTCCAAAGTTTAAGGCATCGTGCGCAAGACCGGAGGTCCTGGCTTCGAATCTTGTACGTAGCAGGATCGTGGATGCGCACTGCCACTGATGAGTAGTCCCACACCATGATGAAACGGCAGTATTTCAATGCTTCCAGGTTTCTAATGATGATGGTCTAACAATCATTGATTTCATGATTTCACTAATAAACGACCATCTCCATAATTCCATCATGAAAAAAAATTTATAATACGTTTATTTTCTTAATACACCTCTGTTGTAATATTGTCGATCTGATCGTTGTCTTTGTGAAATTAAACTTAATCAAAATGTAATTGTGACCACGTGTTTTTTTTTAAATGTGAATACCAATCGGATTTATTTTATTATTTTTTTCCATAGTACTGATTTTTAAGTCAGTATACCAATAGCTCATGAGTTTATTGGTTTTCTTTGCTTTAAACGGCAATTCCATTATTTCCTCATAAATTTAGACTGAATTAGCTAAACAAAATGAGGGAGAATTGTTTTATAATAGTATCATTCATCTTCGTACTATTTTAATCGGTTGCCATAACTACGGTTTGACCTAAGGACATTAAAACACTTGAATAGAAAAGAGATATGCATGTATTTTCGATGTATCGTTCATTACACATTTGAAATCATCAATCAATCATTGTTAGACCACCGTTAGAAACCTGGAAGCACTGGACGGCCGTTTCGTCCTGGTATGAGACTCATCAGTGGCAGTGCGCATCCACGGATCCTGCTAATCGCAGGATTCGAACTCGGGACCTTCGGTATTGTGCGCGAACACTTAACCATCGGACCACTGGGCCGGCATCCAACGGTGTTAATGTCTAACTCTGATTGATCTAGGGATTTTGCGCGACCTCACCCATTTGCCTTTGGTAGTTAGTGCATACACCCGACAGGGTTGAACTCCATTAGTCACGCCTTCTTAACTAGAACTCCGAGGATTTCCTCACGAAGCTAGTCACTAGTGAGCACTGTTACGATGGTGGTCTAACAATGATTGATTGATGATTTCAAATGTGTAAAAACCACAAACCTCCAAAACTCTGCCCGAAAGTATCGTTCATTGTGTGTTAGAACTGGAATAAACATTTAGCTTTCTTTCTTTTGCTTCTCAGTAGTTTAGAAGCGCATAGCAAGTTAGTCAGTCAGTCAGCAACAACGTAGAACTTCGTACGTACATACATCGGTTCAAGCTGCCATACCACACATTAGCACACAGAGAGATGCAATTATCACTTCAAATCCCATAGTGACTTTCATAGTACAAGTATGAGCACTAATCGGAAAGATCACGGTCCTAAGATATCATTCAACAAGTATAATTCAGTGAAATACTTTTGAGACGAGAAAGATGAAGGTTGTAAAGAGTTTAGATTAGAATTTAGGATAACACGGAGAAGGAATGTACCTGAACCATATTGCAAACGATTTTGAGTCATATCATTCAAAGTCTCTAATCACCGGTTATTATCATCTCACTAAGCCAAACCAAGTGGTAGTCTACACCTACCAACATGACTCAATTCACTTGTCAATGACTTCATGGATTTGTGCCCTATTTTGGTTTGACCGCCCTCTTAGCTTCTACCCAGCCTATTCCTATATATAATTAGAACCTAATTAATCTTAAATTAAACCCATTGTTAGTTGTGTTACCTTTTTTTGTTGCCTGTTTTTTTTTGTTCTTTTAAATCAAAACTTTAGGTCATGCTAGTCGATCAACAATGTTATACTTTTTAATTTCATATCTTTGGTTATCATCCACATCATTCAAATCATGGTTCATATCTGGGTTATTATTAGCGTGGAATATCACTTTGTGTTATTCACGTTATGCAATGCATCGTCATTATTTCATTGATATTTTAGCTGGTTATTTATTAGGTTATATGGAATATTGGTTCATTGTTCAATTGTTCAATATGTAAATTGAAAATTGATCAATCAATCAATCAATCAATCAAGCCGCACTGTGATTTTTTTCTTGTGTGTATAGTGCCTCCTCGTATATTAAGAACATGTTTGGACATTTTAATTCAAACTTATTAAACTTTATATGTTTGTGCAATGATCGACAAATTTTTTTTCCGGTTGACAATGAGAAAAAGAATAGTAATTCTTACGAAGTGCTTTTTTGTGTGTATATATAGTGAATTAATTCATATCTATTGTACATCATTGATTTGTGCAATTGAATAATGTAATTTTATCCTACTTCTCTTTTTTTAAATCAAACAAACAAACAGTTTTATTGATATCATTCGATTTATTTTCTATTGTTGAACACATTGAATGTGTGTTCATTTTTCAAATTTGTGTACGTTACTAATTTCTTAGTGCTTTTTTCTGTGATTTACTTATTATTATTTTTTAATTTAATTTGTATTAAAATCTTAATTTTTAATGATTGGATGAATTTTCATTATTTTGTTCAAAGAAATAAAAAAAAAACTATTTTTAATTTGTTATTATATAAGCAACAATGCAAGCATGTTCGGGATGCGGTTTTCCCCCTCGAAATGCAAAATGTTGCTTCAAGATTGGGTTGCATCGGCACCTGAACTAGTGATAGGGAGTGAAGTAGTCGAGCGTGTTGACCGCTTCACTTATCTTGGGGATTTTCATCAGTGCTGATGGCCTGGTGACTGACGAAATCTCAACGCGGATGCAGAAAGTTCGATTTGCTTTTGCCAACCTGCGTCACTTATGACGAAGGCGAGATATCCGTTTGCTGACTAAAGGACGAGTGTACTGTGCAGTAGTTCGCTCCGTCTTAATTTATGGCTGTGAAACATGGCCAGTGAGAGTAGCAGATATTCGTAGGTTACTGGTTTTCGATCATAGGTGTCTTCGAAGCATTGCGCATATATCGTGGGACACCCGAGTGAGCAACGCTGTTATTAGGAATCGGGTGCTAGGTAAGAATGACAGATCAATAGATGAAGTGGTGAGACTTCATCAGTTGAGGTGGTTGGGACATGTGTTGCGTATGCCTAACCACCGATTGCCTTGACGAGCTTTGTTTTGTAGTGTAGGAGTAGGTTGGAAGAAAGTTAGGGGTGGCCAAACCAAAACATGGCAGAAATCCATCAAGTCATTGACGAGTGGACTTAGCCATGTCGGTAATTGTCGACTACCTGGTTGGGGTCCACGAGATGATAATAATCGATGGTTAGAGACCTTGAATGACATGGCTCAAAATCGTTCGCAATGGCGCCGGTGCATTTATTCTTTGTGTTCTCTCAAATCCTAATCTTCTGGATTCTTCAACCCCTCTAGTTTCGACTCTCTAAACTTTTCTCACTGAATCATACTTCTTGAATAGTATCTTCTAATCCTAACCTCTCCGATTACTTCTAATTCCCTTACTACCTCTTCTACTATTGGATTTGAATTGACGATTACTTCTCTGTGCTGATGTGGTATGGCAACATGAATGATGTACTTACGTACGAAGTTCTACGTTGCGTCTGACTGACTGACTATTATATAAAATAGTTACTTTTTATCGACAAAAACTGCTCACAAAATAATACTTTACAATACAGAAGTTTGAATTGTATATTACAACTTCCCGATTATGTATATTATTTAGTTACTCACAGACCGCTGACCAGTATTCTGGAACGTACTTTGTCGTAGGCTTTCTTTTCCAGTTTTACCCATTAGTTGTTCATTCTTCCCATGTCTGCTTCTGATTCCCGACGTAAATTGTTCTTTTTTGTTTGGCCGTGAGGATTCCAAGTAAAGGCTTGTCTTGTGGCATAGTTGGGTGCTTTCCTCAATGTGTGTCCTATCCACTTCTAGCGCTTCTTCCTTTGTTACAGTAATCCGGTTTGTTCTCTCACACAGTAAGTTGTTGCTGATGGTGTCTGGTCAACGAATACGAAGTATTTTGCGTAGACAACTGTTAATAATCACTTGTATCTTCTGGATGATGGCTTGCGTAGTTCTCCTAGTTTCCGCTCCATACAGTAGAACTGTCTTCACATTTGTATTGAAAATCCTGATTTTGGTTTTGGTTGAAAGTTGTTTTGGAGTTCCAGATGTTTTTCAACTGTAGAAATGCAGCTCTTGCTTTGCCAATCCGTGCCCTCACATCTGCATCCGATCCACCTTTCTCGTCGATGATGCTGCCCAGATATGTAAAGGTGTTAACGTCCTCCAAGGCATCTGCATCAAGAGTGATTTGATTGGTGCATGTTGTGTTGCATCGGAGAATTTTTATTTTTCCTTTATGTATGTTGAGACCTACTGCTGCAGAAGCTGCTGCTACACTGGTCGTCTTCTCTTGCATTTGTTGTTGAGTGTGCGATAGAAGAGCCATATCATCTGCGAAGTCCAGATCGTCCAGGTGCGTCCTAACTGTCCAGTTGATACCGTGCTTCCCTCCAGCTGTTGACGTCTTCATAATCCAGTCGATGACCAGGAGAAAGAGAAAGGGTGAGAGTAAGCAACCTTACCTGACACCGGTCTTCACCTCGAAAGAGTCGGTTAGCTGTCCTCCGTGCATGATTTTGCAGTTGAATCCATCATAAGAATTCCGTATGATGTTAACTATTTTCTCAGGCACATCATAGTGTCGAAGAAGCCTCCACAGTGTTTTCCTATCCACGCTATCGAATGCTTTCTCGTAGTCGATGAAGTTGATGTAGAGTGGTGAGTTCCATTCAATTGATTGTTCCACAATGATCCGTAATGTAGCAATTTGGTCAGTACACGATAGATCCTTACGAAATCCAGCCTGTTGATCTCGAAGTTGGGCGTCTACGATGTCCTTCATTCTGTTTAACAATACCCTGTTGAAGACTTTGCCTGGTATTGAAAGAAGAGTGATACCTCTGTAGTTCTCACACTTGCTGAGATCGCCTTTCTTTGGTATTTTGATCAGGTATCCTTCTTTCCAATCTGATGGTACTTGTTCCTCATTCCAAATCTTCTTGAAGGGGATGTGAAATATTTTCGCAGTTGCTTCTACATCTGCTGGAATGTTGTCTGGTCCTGCTGCTTTGCCGCTCTTGATTTGTCTGATGGCCATACTGATCTCCTCAATCGTAGGTGCGCCAATATTAATTGGGAGGTCCGTGGATGATGCTTCGATATTGGGTGTGTTCAGTGGAGCTGGTCGATTCAAGAGATCCCTAAAGTGCTCTACCCACCTATTTCGCTGTTCTTCAGTGTTACTGATTACTTTGCCTTCCTTGCTTTTCACTGGTCGTTCTGGTTTACGATAGTTTCCGTCTCCTGTAGCATTTTCTGCTGTCATTGCTAGATCTTCCACATATTTTCGTTTGTCAGCTCTGATGTTCTTCTTCACTTCCCTGTTTGCTTCCGTGTATTCAGCTTGTGCCTTAACTTTCTCCGCTCTTGTTCGGCTGACATTGATTGCTGCCTTCTTGTTCCTCCTTTCTTCAACTTTTTCAAGAGTACCAACAGAGATCCATTCCTTGTGACCCAGAACTTTGTGACATGTTGAAGCGATTGCCTCCCTAATCTCTTTCTGACTGTTCTCCAATGTTTTCCTCTCCATTGAGTAGATTTTACAAGGCCTGGAACTTGTTCCTGAGGGCTATCTTGAATTCGTTGAGTTTCACTGTATCCCGAAGAAAGGCTGTATTAAACTTGTGTGATGTTGTCTGCCCCGTTGTCCAGTGTTTCTTGAGTTTCAGTTTCATTTTGGCGACCAGTAAGTGGTGATCTGAAGCTATGTCAGCTCCTCTCTTGGTTCTCACATCGTCCATGGTCTTTCTGAACTTTTTATTGATACAGATATGGTCAATTTGGTTTTGAGTAGTGTGGTCAGGTGAAATCCATGTGGCTTTGTGTATGCGTTTGTGCGGGAATATTGTGTCACTGATGACCAGTTTGTTGAAGGCACATAAGTTTGCAAATCTCTCACCGTTTTCGTTCCTTTCTCCCAGTCCATGTCGTCCCATGATGTCTTCATATCCAGTGTTGTCCATGCCAACCTTGGCATCGTCGTCATTGTAGTCATTGGTAGGTGCATAACATTGGATGACGTTCATTGTAATGTCGTCTTTCTTTGTTTTGAAGGATGCTTTAATGATCCTGGGTCCATGAGATTCCCATCCTATCAGTGCCTTTTGTGCTTGTTTGGACAGCATCAGTGCAACTCCTTGTGTATATGAGGCACGTTCTTCTTATTGGAGGGGGTATAACAGCATCTCTCCTGAAGCTAGTCTTCGTTGTCCTACCTGTGTCCAATATGTTTCACTGATTCCAAGAACCTCCCAGGTTGTATCTTTTCATTTCTGCAGCAACTTGGAATAGTCTGCCATCTGCATGATACTTAACATACAATCATACTGTGTTTCTTTATTAAAAACAAACAAATATTTAAACGCTACCCATAATTGAATGTTTTGTAGATTTGACGTTGATCATTCCTGAAACGAAATAGGACATTGAAGCGGTTACAATCAAGCATTCAGTAAGATTTATAATAACTCGAGCGTCTGTGCTTAGATTTTACTGATCAATAGGTGGAACGGTCAATTATTTTTAATTAATCCTAATCAAAATAAGCCGGATTGTAGATCTCAGACGGTTGATAAGTTAGTCTTGTAGCTCAGGTGAATTCTATTCTCTCTGTGTTTGGTGGTATGATCCTCAAAGTTGGCTGAATAATCTGTCACATGTATCCGAACTGGAATCGTTTATTTTCATTTAAAGTCTGTATTCGAGTCAGATCCTAGGCCACTAACAAACACTTTTTCACAATTAATTTATCTAAATTTACCAAGAAAATCTTATAATGACTTTAAGCTTCATATCGTGAAGAGAAAAAGTTTTACTATTTCAAATAAACTAATAGTACGGATGTTTATAAATACAGTCACTAATATTACATCCCCACCGTAGCCGCTACGTCGACACGTGGTGGTCGGGCTTGCCAATCGTGATGACCCAACCGAGCTATTTGGGTTGAAACATATGTTCCTGAAGGTTCTACCATGCCAGGCAGGTCGATTAGAGAACGGTAAGACTAAAAGCAGCAACTCAGCGTCTGAGGGTGAAGTCGTACTGCTGACTGTAGAGAGATGTAACAACATTAAGGTGTTTCCCTCAGAAAACCAGCTTCTGCAGCGATGCTGCCTTCTCACAATGAAAGAAGGGGT